CGTGACTGCATATAGTGCTTCACGTATCTGGCGTAGCTCATTGGAAGTGAGAGTCGCATATGTCGAGTCAATCAGTGTCCATAGCCCACAAGGGACTTCAGGAAGTTCAAGTGTGAATACTTTCTTGCCATTGGACACGTCGGATCTAAATCCCAGTCTTCTCCAAGGGGTCAGGAATACTTTTCAGAGTTTTTGGGCGGCCGGACATTCCCATAATACGTGGTGTAGCCGTAAGTGCCGCAGCCATTCACACCGCAAGTGTGGACATCCGGGGGCTCTCCTGAAGCAGAGCTCCGTTTTCCTGAAACAAGCACAATAAAAAGCACTTTTTATTAAAATAACGTACCGCTGTATTAAGGTTATGTGTACACACCATAATCCAGGATCTAGGGTATCCGTCCTGCTCCCGCTTCCAAGACTCGGTAGCTCCGTTTTTCGCGCGCATTCTACGCGGTGGCCACTCGGCCACCAATACAAACTTTAGGTTCTACCATTTTACAACTCCGTCATTTCAAAAGAAGCTCGCTATGGCTCACAACTACAACCTGCTCTACCTGTCCAAGTACGACTTCGCGGCCGTCATGGAGGCAACGAGCGAAGGGCCCAAGGCTGCTGCGTGGGCCATGGAGGTGGGGCTGCTGGAGAAACAGATGCTCTGCCCCCAGTGCACCCAGCCCATGCGGCTCAACCCGAAGGCGCGACATGCCGCAAGAAGGCACATCACGACAACAAAGAGGTGCAGCGTAGCATCTTGGTGAACTCGTGGTTCTCCAAGATGAAGCTCACCCTCCCCCAAGCGTTACGACTAATGTTCGCGTGGTGCATGAGGGCTCCTCAGCCTCAAGCTGCGCACATGGCCAACTATAGCGAGAGGACAGTATCAGATTGGTACGCTGCGTGCCGCGTATTGTGTTCGAAAGAACTACTGGGAGGTGAGTTTAAGGTAAGTTGCTACTACGCTGTATAACTGTATGCTCTCTAATCGTATGTGTCAAATAGATTGGAGGTGATGGTCATATCGTCGAAATCGACGAGACCAGCTTAAAGAAGAAATCGAAGTATGGGCGTGGACGACATTACAAAGAGTTCTGGTTATTTGGTGGTGTAGACAGAGCAACAGGTCAGTGGTTCGGTCGCATCGTATACGACAAACGTACAAAAGCAACCCTTCTGCCTATAATCAAGCAGTTCATTAAGCCTCGGTACGTTGTCGAACTAATTTAATCCTACTGACTAACATAACGACTATTGAAATGTCGCAGTACCCGCATTCACTCCGATATGTTCGCCACTTACGTGACTGAACGTGGTGCTCGTACCCATACCCTGGCCAACAATCGCACGTTGGCCAGCATGCACTACGAGCATAGCTGGGTGAATCACACCCTCAACTTTGTGGACCCTGTTACGGGCACCCACACTAACACGATCGAAGGTCTATGGGAGATGCACATTAAGCGCCACATCAAAGCTATGCGCGGAATGACCCAGAAGTACCTCGATGGGTACATTGATGAGTACATGTGGAGGTCGTGGTTTTTTCCTCCTAGATGCTCGCCAGGTGAATACATGTGTGGACTCGTGCAAGCAGTAATCCGACACCCCAAGCAGGAAGAGTAAGTTGCACTTGGCTACATTTGATAACTTTCAATAAAGCGCTTTTTTCATTTCATTTTATAAAAAACAGCTTTCAGGAAAACGGAGCTCTGCTTCAGGAGAGCCCATCCGGGGACTTGTGTGATCGGATTCCAAGTCGAGAGAGCCCCATGCCTATTGCGGAAAAGTAGCTGTTCTCCCCGTGCATTGAGCCCTAGAATTCTGCGGAGGCGCTTCCATTCAAGGCCAGAGATTATAGCACCAATGGATCCTCCTGTAACTCTCCAGTTGTTTTCCCGTTCTGCTTTGGCAGTGAAGCACCGTTGTTTGCTGGCCTTGGCAATAGCTCGTTTAAAATGAGCCCTCTTTTGAGTCCAGCGGCGTTTGCCCACCCACAAGCAAACTAGACGGGAGAGCAGTGGATGAGGGTGTTGATATACAACACGAGCAGAGAGGTCAAGCATCAGTTGAAAGTTAACCCCTACCTCATGATTAGAGGAGACACATTCCGTTTGCGCACTCTGATTGCCTCCAGCAAAAACCGTAAGCCGACAACTTGCATGAGGTCCCTAGTACCCGATCTTCAGGAGGAATGATCTTGCACCGCAGCGTCGTAGTTTCAAGCGGGGGTTGAGTTATTCCAGGGAAGTTGATAAACAGTAGCCAGGCAAGTCTACCAATGGTCCCTCTTTGCGAGCTGGTTATGGATCCTGTCCAGTATTGACTCTAAAAAATTAGGAGTCTTGGGCCCGTTCGTTCCCATGTCACCACGTCGCGCAGAAGCAGCGGTCTGTTGGTAACAGGGAGCATGTCCTTAACCTTGATATCGGTGACATCACCATCGTGTAGCACCAAGTATCGGACATCTGAATAAGGTAGCCACTCCAGACATGCGCCTCCATATTGACGTAAATAATGCTGCTGCAGTCGGTGCATGTGTGCAATGTCCAAATTCTGCGCATCTAGACATAATCTTCCCTTATCCCAGTGCAGGCGTAGTCCTGCAGTGCAGCATTATCGATGTAGTTCCTGCACATGTTGAGCCCTCTCAGTGGTGTTCACGTTAAGACCCGCGTGTCCAATGACTGCTTGCCCTGTGCTCCATAATGAAGGCTTGTAACGGAGTATGGTAGTCGTGGCAGCAGCAGGAGTAATATATATGGCAGGGGCACATTGTACTCTACCGTTCGCAAATAGTAAGTCACCGACAGCTCGGCGTTGTGCATCCGCTGTCAAAGCCCAGCCCTGCACGACCATCGCCGCCATGCTCATAAGTTCCGTCCTCAAGTTGGGGATCGCCAATCCTCCTTCCGTTGAAGACAGAGATGCCAAATCCGAGTCAAGCCAGCTCTTACCACCACTGACATCGGTTGTAAACGACCCGAACCAAACATAGTGTCGTATTTTTTTGTCGAATCTATTGATCAAGGTTGTCGTGGGCCATGCATGTCGAGCAATAAAGAGCAACTTTGTGATAATGACAGCCATCGCGATGAGGCTGCGTTGAGCCACTGTTGTGGTTTTCTGCATGGCTAAACGAAGCCGGATTCTCAATTGCTCATCCGCAAGACACCAGACTTGTTCAGCAGAAACGTTGCAACCAGCCTGTAAGCCCAAATAACGTTTAGTCTCAGTGGGTGATAAAAATCGTAGGCTCCCTGGCAGTCGGGCATCAGCGCTTGCACCATCAGGATGAAGGACTACCACAATCGTTTTGTTTTCATTGACTCGTAAGCCAGATGCTTCACCAAAGGCACTAGTGATTTTGAGTACCTCCACCACATCATCTGGGGTTCGTAGTGTAGCGTGGGGTTCAGGTTGAAAGCCTTGCCTTCATTGCACTTTGGTAGTTACTGCGGTTGCAGTCACTTATCAGCTGGCATAAGTTGCAGTTGTAGTTGCAACTGCAATACCCATAGCTCGAAGAGCACCATGGCGTACAGGAGAGTTTCCTTCTCGCAGTAGCGAGAGCAGGATTGTCTAAATCGTAGTTATTCACTTTTCCTTTTGCTTTCAACTAAGCAATACAATCGGCAATAACAACTTACGGAAGTGCCAGCTTCCCCAACATTGTCTATCGTTTCCGTCTCGTGGACGTACTACAAAGTCGACTTTAGTGAACCCACGTTCACACGATGAAAATACACCGAGGAAAGACAAGTGAAGGCGAGTCCGTCGCTGCAGACGAGACTAATGCAGTGGGTGTCCCGCTGCTCATTCCGGTGGTCGCGCCTCGGATTACTTCGATGTCCCACTCAGCTTTAGTCGAGTGGAGGAAAGCCCGTACTGAGTACGAAGAAAGTGTCAAGGCCGCAGCAAAGGTGACGCGGAGCTCTACGAACGCCTCAAAGAGAGTGTCAAGAGCACTATTGATGAAAAGTTGCTGCGTGCCCTATGCACCTACCGCTGGGGTGGCCTGTCCAAGGACGATGTGACGGATGACCGAATTTTGTCGGAAGTCCAGGCTATTCTCCAGCGTGTCATGAATGACACGCTCCCCGATGTTGATCGCTTGTTCCGCAAGAAGTTACAGCTAGACATGTCCGAGTCGGATGTGAGCGAGCGTGTACTAAAATACTTCATGCAGTGCAGCCAATTAATTGAAGAAAACGGTCTAGTGGATTGTTTTGAGGGTCAGCACGGCTCGAAAGAGAAATGTAAGCTTTTGATTGAGTCTCTGTCGCCAAATGAGCTGAAGTCAGAGGTAAAAAATGCAATTCGCTTCCAAGCACCGGCTGCGCTCAAGGATGAATGCAAGTTGCACGATCTAATCTTGGCGAAAGCCCTCGAGCAAGATCGCGATTGCCTGCGTCGTAAGCGAGCCCGTTATGATGAACAATTTACCAAGAAGGAGAAGGCTCCTAGGCTGCAAGATCGTAAGCATTCGGCAGACACGCATGGCGGCGGCCGCCATGACTCTGTGAGTGCGAAGGAGACTCGCGATAGAGATGCAAATCGCGTAGTGAGAACGGCGTCAAAAACACTTGTGGAAAAGGTACGACCGGCCGTGCCGAAAGATGGCTGTCTGAAGTGCGGCGGTGCACATTACGTTGCCTCATGTCCGCCGGCTACTCCACAAGAGAAAAAGGAGCTACCGAAGAAGTTTCACTCGAACCGCGCGAAAAAAACACGGATGAAGCGCATAAAGGAGCGTCTTGGTGGTGTGCATACCATCAAGTTGAACGACGTCTTTGAGCTGAGATACTGTGCAGACACTGGATCTGACTGGTGTTTAATTAGTCGCAAAAACTTTGAAGAGCTCGCTCGGCTGGGATCAGGCGTGCTGGCGGAGCCGTTGCAGAAGGCGGTCGTGGGAAAAGCTGTTGGCGGGCATGATGTGGAGGCTCGAGAGGCCGTCCGACTTCAGATACGTCTGCATACTGCTGCCGGTCCTGTAGAACCTGCTGATCTCGTTACTTGCCTTATCATCGAAGAGGATGAAGACGAGTTCATTGTCGGCAATGATGTGTTGCTCTCGTTGGGCATCGATGTCAGCCGTCAGCTGGAACAACTTGCAGGAAACAGCCAAGAACAAGATGATGATCCTTTTAATGTCGAAGATGATGCTCGGTCAGGCCTTGATGATGACGATGAGATTCGTGCAGGGGTAGAACTGCTGATTGAGGCAGCACTGGAGAACGAGTTTCCAGCGGAGTTTGTGGATGAACTGCGACGCATTGTGTTCAAACACGACATTTGGCGTTTAGTTCTACGCGATGACCCTCCTGCTAAGGTCCCTCCGTACAAGTTGCGTTTGAAAGAAAATGCAAAGCCATTCCGATGCAAAGCGCGTCAGTACGCGCCGCTACAGAGCACTTTCCTTCGGGAGTTTAACAAGACACTGGTTGAGCTGGGATGGGTATACAAGAATCCAAGTAGCAGGTGGGTGTGTGCTGCTCTACCCCTCCGGAAACCTAAATCGGACGAGTTTCGTCAAGCTGTTGACTACAAACCTCTCAATGCGATGACTGAATCGATCGCCGGCCTCATGCCTAATCTGAAAACAAAGCTGGAGCGGGTGCGAGGCAAAAAGCACTACGGATTGTTTGATTTCATCCGGAGTTTTTGGCAGCTTGCTGTGGCTGAGGAGAGTCGTGAAATGCTCTCCTACATGACCGATGAAGGTGTGTTCACACCGAACCGTGTCATGCAAGGAAGTTGTGACTCTGCTCTCCATTTTCAAGTGTCGATGGAGGACTGTTTCGCTGAGCTACTGCATAACTATTTGCTCATCTGGATTGACGACTTACTACTTTTTGCGGACACCACTGCTGAGTACCTGTTGGTATTGGAGAAACTGTTCGACCTCGTGCATGAGTTTAGATTGAAGTTGAGTTTGAAGAAGTCTTCGCTCTACCAGCAGTCTGTAACGTGGTGCGGAAAAGTAATCGACCAGAACAGCATTCGCCACGACCCGAAGAGGATCGAAGGACTCACAGCTATGCCACCTCCGTGTACGGCGGGACAACTTCAACAGTTCATCTGCGCAACAAACTGGATGCGCGACTCCCTAATAGACTATGCACGCGTGGTCCATCCCCTGCAGCAGTGCCTCGATGTGGCGTTAAATGGAAAGCGTAAAACGAAGCGTGTTGCATCGGGTATTGTTGTGAAACTGAATGAAGAAGAGGTGAATAGTTTCAACCAAGTGAAGACGCTGTTGCAGAAGTCTGCCCAGCTTGCACACCCGCGCGATGGCGCAACATTTTGTTTGTTCGTGGACGCTAGTGACGTTGGATGGGCGTCCATACTCACGCAAGTAGCTACGTGGAAAACGGGTGTGGCCGTCACCGACCAAGCTCACGAGCTATTAATCTGCAAGGGTGGCACTTTCCATGGGGTTCAACAGCACTGGAGTGTGATCGAAAAGGAAGGTTACCCTATTGTGCTTTCGTGCGAAGACCTCGACTACATTTTGCTGCGACCTGGTGGGTTTAAGATTTTCTGCGACCACCGCAACCTTATTCACGTGTTTGCAACTGGTCAGGAAATTAAAAAGCATGTGAGAGGAAAACTGCTTCCCTGGTCTGTAAAGCTTATGGAATTTCGCTACACGATTGTTCACATCGAAGGGCCCAACAACTTATGGGCAGACCTGATTAGTCGATGGGGTGGCAGTTCTACTGTAACTACAACTGTGTTCAAACGAGTTACTCGACTTCAGGCTCGTGCTAAACGTCGACCATTGTTGCGTCTGTTGGACAAGGACGGATTCATCTGGCCGACTTTGACGGAAATTGCTGCGACGCAAGCTGCACATGTCAGCGCAGCTCCTACTGGTTATGAGCGAGATCATAATGGTGTGTTGCGTTGTGGCCGCACTATTTGGATTCCTGAGGCAGCAACAGAACTCGTGCAACGACTGTTGATCATTTCCCACTGTGGTGCACAAGGACACCGCGGTGAGGCTGTAGTATTGAACCACCTTCAACGAGCATTTACCATCGAAGGCTTGGTCAAGACT